ATTATCACGTTTCCTTCTCGACTCGTGAGGAAAACGTCCTCGCCGTCTGGACGCTGTCAGTCAAAAATCCTTAATGTTTGCCAATCAGCATCGAGCAGCCTGCTGCACCACCCGCCCCTTAGACTGACATTTCAGACTGACATGCAGCATCCTGCTTCTCCAGAGCAGATGGGATTAATGCGCAGCACACATTGAGCATATTCAATACAGTTTAATCACTACATTTATGAATGTTATCACTTTATTCTCAAAATAACAAAAAAAAATCTCTAACCTAGCACTAAAACTCCTTTGTACACCAGGAACATGAAACGATAGGAAAAAAAAAAATTATACCCGTATTTTCATTGTTGGTTTCGAATAAAAAAAAATAGAGTAAATAAATGATACATGGATTTAATAAAAATGCTTAAATAACATTGAATTTAATAAAAAATTTCCAATTTTGCTGCAGCAGAGGCTGTTTTTTTTATTCAGGGGTAAGATTCTAAAGCGGTTTACTTTTTCATTCCTTTTTAATAATATTTCTCCCGAAGCATCTTTCACTTTCCTTTCAATTAACAAATATGCACAATTATGCACAATATTAATCACCTAGCATTCCTTTTTTGTGGTGTTTGGCATTTCAATGTGTGCAATTTAAGCTTTATTTACAGTCCATTCACGATCTGAGACCTGCCTGCTTTTATGTGCAGAACAATCCTTTGAAAAATGTGCACAGAAGTTTCCTTATTTTATTCTACCTTGCCTGAAGTTCCTAAAACTGAAAAAAGAAAGAAAACCTATTTTATTCATACTCATGGGAAGGGATTATATTCTTCAACTTTTTCTATAGTAGTTCATCAATATTGGAATCAGTGTTGTACAGTCTGCTTTGGGCAAATTTAAAAAAGGTGGTTAAAAAAAAAAAACTGCAGCCTGCTTCAAGGTGCTTCTGTGAGCAGAGACCTAATTTATGGAAACTAAGGAGCATCTTCTGAGAAACATAAAAAGAGTAATTTTCCACTTTCAAACAAGCATGAAAAAGCCTCTCTAAGGGCATGCATCACAAACACACACAACTTGCAAACTTCCACTTCATTTAGAATTACCATAATTACTAATGAGTAGCTCCCTCCTGCTTTCAGTTTAGGATGTTTCAATTTAATTATTTATAAAATATCAACGTTAATTGATATCCCACACCTCTTCACTGCAAGAATGATCTAGAAATAAGTAAAACATTTATTCAATCAAGTGTATTTACCCTTAATTTGAGTATGTAAATGGGATGATTTGCCAATGGAATGAGTATTTTTACTCTTATAATAAGATAATTAGATAATATGCACTGTAATAAGACAATGCAATGTTTTTTCTTATTTTAAATGTAAATTATCTTGTTCCATTGGCAAAGTTTCTAACTAACCTCCTAAATTCAAGAACAAATGCACTCATTTTAAGAAAAGAAAGACTTTTTTAGATTTCTATTTTTTGCAGTGAATTTCTTCTCTAGATCCTGAAAACTGATACGACAGCTTAGTGCAGAGGCTGCTTTTATAGTGATGTTTACCGTGAGCATCGAAGAACTCATCATCAGTGCTGTCGTCAGAATCCCGAGCAATGCTCTGCATCCTCCACTCTGAAATGCTTTGGTGAGACGGACTTGCTGCAAACACAACAGGGTTATTTCAATTAGCCGTTTTCACCAAGGAGCAAGTTTTGGTTATACTGTAATTATGGGGCCAAAATGGTAGCTTTATGTGAAGCAAGTTGTGCTGGAC